GCTTTATCATTATGTAATGCCCTTCTTTGTCTCTTATTATAGCCTTTGTTTTAAAGTCTATTTTTTTTTGATAAAAGTATCATTACCTCAACCTTTTTTTTTTTCATTTTTATTTGCATGAAATATCTTTTTCCATCCCTTTACTTTCAGTCTGTGAGTGTCATTTGATCTGAAGTGGGTCTCTTATAGACAGTATGTGCATTGGTCTTATTTTCTAATCCATTCAGCTACCCTATATCTTTTGATTGGAATATTTAATCAATTTACATTCAAAGTATTGTTAATAGGTACATAGTTATACATATGTAAATAGTAAATATAAATATTTATATTTATGTGATTTTTTTCTTTCCCCTTCTTCTGAAAGAAGTCCCTTTAACATTAATATAATACTGGCTTGGTGTTGATGAATTCCTTTAGCTTTTTCCTGTCTGGGAAGCTCTTTATTTCACCTTCAATTTTAATTTATAGTCTTGCTGGGTAGAGTAGTCTTGGTTGTAGGTCCTTCTTTTCATCACTTTGAATATTTTGTGCCAATCCCTTCTGACCTACAACATTTCTGTTGAGAAATCAGCTGACTTCTTTATGGGAGTACCCTTGTAAGTAACTAGCTTTTAAGATTCTCTCTTTGTCTTTAAACTTTGGCATTTTAATTATGATGTGTCTCGGTGTGGGCCTCTTTGGATTCATCTTGTTTAGGACTCTGTGCTTGCTGGGCTTGTACGTCTATTTCCTTCACCAGGTTAGGGAAGTTTTCACTCATTATTTCCTCAGATAGGTTCTCAATCTTATGTTCTTAAATTCCTTCTGGTAGCCTTATGATGCAAATGTTGTTATGTTGGATGTTGTCCCTGAAGTCCTTTAAACTATCCTCAATTAAAATCTATTTTATTTTTTTTAATTAATTTTTAAATTTTATTTATTTATTTTTATTTTATTTTTTGCTGTTCTGATTAGATGTTTTCTTCTAGCTTGTCTTTCAAATTGCTGAATCAGTCCTCTGTTTTGTCTAATCTACTGTTGATTCCCTCTAGCGTATTCTCTGTTTCAGTTGTTAAATTCTTCATTTCTGACTGATTCATTTTATGGTTTCTATGTCCTTTTTTGTTATTACTAACTCTTTGTTCAAGTTTTCCCTGAGATCATATATTCTTACCCTAAATTCGCTGAGCATCCTTACAACCAGTGTTTTGAACTCCACCTTTGGCAAATTACTTGTCTCCATTTTGTTTAGTTTTTTTTTTTTTCTTGATCTTGTTCTGTTCTTTCATAAGGTACATATTTCTTTGTCTCCCCATTTTATCTTTCTCCCTGTGTTTGTGTCTTGTATTAGATAGATCTGCTACATCTCCCAGTCTTGGCCAGGTGGCCTTATGTTGTAGGTACCCTGTGGGGTCCAGTAGCACAGTTTCCCTGATAATCTGCACTGGGTGCTCCAGGAGTGTCCCTTGTTTGGGTTGTGTGTGCCCTTCTATTGTAGTTGAGCCTTGATTGCTGTTGGCATTTCAGTGGAATTGACTCTCAGGCTATTTGGCTATGAGGATGGCCATGCCCCCAGCATATGAGGTGCTGTGTAGGGGCTGACCTCACAGAGTTAATTCACTCCTGAAGGTTCATGTGCCTGTTGAGACTACCCTTTGGGTGTATCGTTTATGGGGCTAATTAGGTGGTGCTCTGTTCTGGTCTGACACCGGCCTCTGGGTATGTTAGTTCTGTGGCCCCTTGAGAGGGGCTCCCATGCAGGTTAAGGTCAGCCATTTCCTGTGACTGGCCCAGGGATACTAGGCAGGAGCTACAAAGCTATCTGCTGTTGGTTGCCAGCCTGTAATAAATCTGGAGGATTGTAGGAGAGGCCACGCTGCAAATGGAGGTTGGCTGCCACCAGTATCAGGCCTGGGGCAGCTCAGGTTAGTACAGTGCTATCTGTGGTCACTCCTAAAAGTTTCAGATCACACTGAGGCCAGCAGCTGCCCACCTCAGGCCTGCAGACCCCTAAAGTTTGTTCAAGAAATACTGCAGCTCAGGCCAGGGCTGATTGCCTGCCACTGGAATTGCTCCAGAGGCAGGAGAGCTGAGGCTTGTTGATTGCTACTGAAAGAGCTTCCTGCTAGGATGGTGGGGTGGGGGTGATTAACCAGCAATGAATATGCCTCCAGGCAATTTGTGAGTTGGATGGGGCAGGGGCCCCTGAGTCATCTGGATGAAGCAAGCAGATCTCACCAGGTCAATGAAGGTTCAGATTAAGCAGATCTCACCAGGCCAATGCAGATTCAGATTTAGCCATGTGGGAAGAGGGCTCAACATAGGCAAGATAGTGCCTGCCTACAAGCTGCACAGGAGGAGGGCTCAACATAGAGATAATGGTGGCTGTCCCTCTAGCCTTTGACATGAAGCCACACAACTCAGTCTTCCCCTGTGTGTCTCTGGCACTTCCCAAGCTGCTATCTCTTTGCCGGAGACCAGAATGAGTGCCTGCAAGCCAGTGAATCTGTGTGCGAGACCTTTTAGGGGACATCTGGGTTTTCAGCAGCCTTCCATCTTACCTGGAGTAATGGAATCATCACTGAAATTTACAACCAGGTTTTGTTGGGGGGACTCTTCCTGGCACTGGAACCCTGGGCTGTGAGCCCCAGTGTGGGGCCGTGATCCCCTGTTGCTCTGAAAGGATCTTCATAGCTGATATATCCCGCCTGATGCTCAAGTGCCACATGTGGGTGCGAGGCCAGCGCATTTGTGTCTCTGCTCCTCTTACCAGTCTCGATGTGGCTTCTTCTTTATATCCTTAGCTACAGTTTTGTTCAGCCAGTCTTCAGGTAGTTCTCCAGGTTGATTGTTCTATAATTTAGTTGTAATTTTAATAACGGTTATGGGAGGAGGCAGGCACAGCATTTACCTACTCTGCCATTTTGATCCTATGAGAAAGCTCTATGAGTTTTACACTATTTCATACAGGCAAACAGGCATTTATTCTAATGAAGTTTTAATGTATTTCTCTAACATGAACAATGAGAATAGGAATAATTTCTCAAAATTCTGAGCTTAAAATTGTTTTTAATAAATTGTAGAATTTCATACATTGTCGAGTCTGATATTATATTCTAAGACTGTAAATTTTCTCTTAATGTTTTGAATTTTATTAAAACTCTGTGGAGACATTGTTTAGTTAAAATGTAAGGCACAAATCTGGAAAACAGCAGTACAAATTTATAAGTACCACAGGTTTCATGAGTTTGGTTTCCTACTCTCAGGCTAACACAAAATAGAGGATTTTAAAAGTCAAATTTGAGATTCCTCATGGAGACTTCTAGATAGAAAGCTGTGACCTTAAGCAGCTGTTTGGTATAGTGTAGGTTACGCTTGCAGAGCCAACTTAAGAAGGGCTACATGGTAAGTTAAAATTCTTGCTGCACTCATATAAATAATCAGGCCAAACCTAATGACACCAATCTTCTTTTGGAAAAAGAATAATCTTCCTTTGACATTGTTATATTCACAACAGGGAGACTGTCAGAAAAAAGTGAAAGACATTGAAATAGGCAACATATTGTCTAATGCACCCTTCCAGGATTGTCTCCATCTACCCTGGTCTTTAAACTATTTTATAACTCTGTAAGTTTTAGAAAACTGGTAATAATACAAATAATTTTTGTACATAGAAATGCAAATTAGTTTTGTCCAGTGGAATGCGATTGCTTTTTGACCTATTTTGTATCTATTAGTAGATTCATTCCTCATCTGCCTAACAATGTGCAGTACTTTGAACTTCCTATAACATTTTACTGGTTCCTTATTAATGAATGGGTTAAATAAAATTTTTGACATGTTAAAAAATGCAAGGTGCAGGACAGTATGGTATGCAACAATTTCTGTAAAACAAAAGAGGGAAATAATATATATTCATATTTGTGTATATGTACATATGTAAAAACCTTTGGGAAAATATATATTTATATTTGTTTACATAGTCATAGAACAAGAAACTAATAATAGTGTTTATCTAGTTGGAGCTGGGAAATTAAACAGGTTTGGAATGAGGGAGACAGACTTTTCACTTCATGTCATTTTACCTTTAATTTTTAAATCATGTAAATATACTTAAATTATTTTAAAAAATTTAAATGTGTGGCAATTAATTTAAATTTATAAATCAATGGCCTTTTCTTACCATGTGATAAGTATTTGACACAGTTTAGTTCTTTATTTCGCTGGTTTCTGGTAGACATCAGTAGAAAGAAGTTCTGCAACTGGAATGGTACTGAGGGGACTGACGCAAAGAAATCGCGATTCCAAATGATAAATTAATAATACGGTGTTAGTGAAAACAAAATTAAATGAAAACAAAACAAACATAATCTGAGGGAATAATAAGGAATGACTTACATATGACTTTATTAGAATATTTGTTTTAGTTCTGTACCTTTAAATTCAAATGAAATAGGCAGGGTTGAAAGGAAAGCAATAAAAATTAGTTGGAGGCTTGAGAAACTAGCCCTTTGAGGAAATGCTAAAGGAAGTGAACTGAAAAAGGGGGCAAGAAACCATCTGTCTATAAATATACACTGAACACCATAGGAATATTTGGATATCCTATATTTTTATAGAGACTGCTCTAGGAACTAGACTTAAACTGGGGCAAGAAGAATTTAGACTGTTATTAAGAAATATCATGATTCAAAGTCTGAAGAAAGCAACATATTAGCAAGAAAGATTGCAAGTCGCCATCCCTAATTTATTTTTTTCTAGAAAGGTGAAGCTTAGAAGCTGAACTATAAGTCTTTTTTCCCCCTCCCGCATTATAAATTCTGCTTTAGGAGACAGAATTAGGCTTGAAGCCTTGTCTTTGTATGACAAAATCCATGCAAGACTCAAATGACTCAATACTGATATATTGTTAACAGATTTTTTTTTTATCTTTTTAATCCATAATGTTAATTGGTGAGACATCTTGATCTTTACTGTAACCAGCCTAACTTTTTATTTTTATTCAGGTGTTGGAAAAGGCAATGGAAGTGATCTAAAAGTACGAATAATAATAAAGCATAAAGTTGTCTTTTCTGGTTCTGCTTCCAAAAACTGTAGGGTAAGAGAAAGCATGTAAATTGAAAGTTCTGGTGTTTGTTTTAAATATCAATGTCAAAACAGCATGTTGACCTCCCAAAATCCTCACCCACCTCAAAGAGAACCCATGTTGCTTTCTGGTTACTATCCAACTTGGTGTCCCTGGGTTTGGATACAAGTCAGAGCTAAATTAAGCTCATTATTCAAATTGTTTTTTTCAGGGCATTTTCTAGAATATATTTTCAGTTCAGAGTGTTGCTTTGGTTTTCACTTTTTCACAAATGCCAAGCATGCTCCCAGGAATATAACAGAGTTTTAAATTCATGTATCTGGTCATTTTTAGCCATATCTTTTCTTCATATTAGTATATGGTGCTGATTCTGAAATTTTAGTGTGCATGAAAATCACATAGGAGTTTGTAAAGATGCAGATTCCTAGGTCATACCCCAAAAGTATGATTTAGGAAATCTGGAATGGGGCCCAGGAATCTCTAGACTTAGTAATTTCCCAGGTGATTCTAACTCAGATGTCCAGTGGGACTGCACTGTGAGAAAAAAATGGCAACGCAAAAGTGTATGGATTGGAGAGGAATCTCTTTACCCAAAACAATAGGACCTGGTAGTCAATGTTTTCTTAAATGCTGATGAAATACCTAAGACTACGGACATTTTCTGAAGCAATAAGAAAGCTTCCTCCATGGGTCTAAGAAATAGAAAAAATTTTAAACTCTCTCAGGCTTTAATTTCTAGTTCTATTACCTCTCCAACACCATTTCGTTCCCTTCTTTTTGCCTCTCCCCCAACTGAGGGCACTCACTCAGGCCTGAACTTTAGCTTTCTGTTCTTATCTCTGCATGTACTCTATTCTTGGTTCTGCTCATCCTTCTCCTGCTTGAAACTGTAACTTTTTTCTTTCATTCACTCAACCCACTGTGTGGTAGATGCAGGAGCTACAACATGGACACTTTCTGCTCCTACAATTCAAACACATTTGTCAATCCAAATTTATCAAATGAGCTTTTCTTCCGCCTCTGCAAATGCCACCAACATTCTCATTCAGGACTTCAAATTTGGTATTGTCTTCGATTCTCTTATTGTCTTGGCCCCCTAAATCCTGCCGATTTTACCTTTGAAATCTCTCTTCACTCCCTTCCATTCTGTTCCTATTTGCTACTACCTAGTCTGGGACTTCATTTGCTCATGCCTAGATTTCTACAATGGTCTCCTTATCTTTTTTTTCTCCTTGTAAAATGCAGTACATAGAATCCTACAATATGCATCCTGAAATTCTGTTTTCATTGTGAAAAGCTGTGGTAGAGCAGAAGACACATTGTGTGTCCAAGGTCAAAGCCAGTTAATACCTTTGTCTCAACCTAAGATTACATCTCAAGTATTGTAAGGATTAAATTAGATAATATATGTGAAGTTGCTTTGCGAGCTATGTTACTAAATAAATTTTATCAGTAATAATCAGGCCACTTTGTCACACAGGAAATGCCCCACGATACTCTTGAATAACTTCCTTCTTAATTCTCTGGCTCTTGAACTCTCAAGTATGATGGCCCTATAATACTCAAGCTCATTTCCATTAGTAACTTGACCAGCAGAATCCATTCCAAGTAGACTGCAACCCCTTTGGCCCTTGGAACACAACACTAATTTCTGCTCCATGTTTTTGCTGGTTTTTCCTCCACCACCCAGCCCCCTGTCTAAACTAGAGTCACTTTTCATTGCTCCTCTTCTTTATACAAATCCTTCCATGCCCAACCCAATTTCTGTCTCCCTGGTGAAGCTTTCTCATTCTATACCTTTTAATCTCATGAAGCACACAACAGCAGTATTCATTATATAGCCTGACATATAATTATGTGCTAGTCTACTATTGTTCCTTATGTGTATAGCTCCCTGAAGCATTAACTGAGTCTGCACCTTCTTTTGTATCTTTCGCAGGGCCTAGCAAAGACTGACTTTATTGTGGGTGGCACTGTTATACAACGGTGAATCAATAACAAACAAATGTTTAGTATAGCTTCAAAGTTGTTCATTACAGAAACTTGGCCTCTCTTTTGTCACTCTTTGCAGTCTGTTATAGACAAGGCCTATGATCCCATCAGCAAATAACATTTTTGATAAAACATGACCAGTTATGCATTGCTTTTTGAATGTAAATGCCAGCTTTAAAATTGAGCTTCATAGTGTATTCCTAGTATATGAAAATCATTTTTAATACAAATCACATTTAACAGTAATGTTTACTTAGTTAAAGTCTAATAAAAAATTGAATACTTCAGTTTACAACAATGCCCACCATAACCCTTAAAAATGTTGGCCTTTTAAATATGTAAAAACAGTATTGCAACTTTATAAAAATAATGATTAACATTTATTTATACATGTAGTGATTGGGCTATGAGACCAAGAGTACTTGATAAATATAGGAAGCCTCAATAAGTGAACATGAACTTCACTGTTATACTAATCAGCTAGATTTATAGTTCTAAATTCCATGTGTTCATTCACAGATAGTTCATGATGTTGAAGCAGACAGAGTAATAATTTATCTAGTCAACTGTCCACTTCTGCATGATGATGTGAAAATACAATTTTTCTCTCCGGTGAGTAATCAAGAAACAACCTATGCCATTATTTTCGTCTGGACTTTCGAATGATTTTGGTGTGGCATTTCCCTTGCTACATATCCCAGCAATGGAGATGGTAGGAGATGGCAACTCCTAGCCAAGGAGGAAGACAAAAACAAGTCGATCCATAACAAACTCTTTTAAAAAACACATGTAACTTAAAATTTTTGCTCATTTAATTTTTCTAAATTCTACGCAATTTGCTCGTATTGATTTTCAAATAAATAATACAAAAATTAAGAGGTTTTAAAAAGTATGTTTCACTGCATAGCACTGGTCATATTTTTTTGTGTATTTAAAACACATTGTTTCCTCATAATTTCTGAGTTTTTTTTAATTTTTATTTTTTTAATTTCTTTTTTTAATTACGTTTATTGGGGTAACATTGGTTAATACAATTATATAATTTTCAGTTATACATTATAATTTGACATCTAAATATTCTATTGTGTGTTTACCACCCAAAGTCCAGTTTCCTTCAGCTATCTTATATTTGATCCCCTGACCCACTTCATCCTCCCCGTACTTTCCTATATTTGACTCCCTTTACCCCATCTACCACCCCCCACCTCCCCAACTCCCTACCCTCTGGTAACCACTAGTCCATTGTCTACGTCCATGAGTCTCTGTTTGTTTCTCCTGCTCATTCGTTGCTTTTAGGTTTATATTCCACATGTGAGTGATATCATGTGATTTTCAACTTTTTCTGTCTGGCTTATTTCGTTTAGCATGATTATCTTGAGATCCATCCATGTTGTTGCAAATGGCAGTATTTCATCTCTTCTTATGGCTGAGTAATATTCCATTGTATATATGTACCACAGCTTCTTTATCCCATCATCTATCGTAGGACACTTCAGTTGCTTTTATGTCCTGGCCACTGTGTATAATGCTGCTATGAACAACGGTGTGCAAATATCTTTTTAGATATGGGTTTTCAAGTCTTTGAGGGTAAGT